GGTTTAGGGTTTAGGGTGAGAGCCCGCACAACCCCAACACCGCGACTCTGTGCCTCTTAATGCTTGCCGCTTCTTAACCGCGTATAGGGTTTAGGGCTTACTTAAGGTTTAGGGTTTAAGGNNGTTTAAGGTTTAAGGTCAGGGTTTAGGCCCTAAACCCTAACCCTAAACCTTGCCCTAAACCTTAGTGTTTTGGGCCCAGGCCTCAATCGAGCAGTGCTGGGGTCTGACAGCATGTGGTTTACCAGCAGAGCATCTTCGCTGAATTCCTAAGCCAAGGTTTGGATTGGGAGTTCAGGCTTTAGGGAGGGTTTAGGGGTTCAGGATTTTAGGGTTTAGGGTTTCGGGTTTGGGGATTTTGCGGTTTGGGGCTTTGGGTTCTGGGGTTTAAGGTTTTGGGTTTCGGGTTCACCGCTTCGCTCTATTTGGAAGTGTGCTCGTAATCCACACTGTCCGAACCCGAAATCTAAACACAACGTCTCTTGTATATGAGTAGCGAAGACACAACGTGCCAGGAAAAGTTTCTTAGAATTTGCCAGGTGCCGGAACCACATACAAAGATAAAGATACTATAGCTGAAAAGTGAACGCTACAAGTGATCTCTGTGGCGAATCACCATATCAAATTGTTGCATCACTCACGGCAGCCAGACATAACCAGTGTCTTGGTACACCATGATGATGGCCATGATAAGCATTGTCGCAATAACAATAGCAAAGTTCAGATCAGCAAGACACACCTCTGGCCAAACTCGGCTCGCGTCTTCACAAGCAAGTCCAACCCTGAACCCTAAAGCCCTGCAACCTGAACCCCAAAAACCCTTAAACCCTAAACCCTTGACAAGCAGATCAGGGATCCCTTCTGGAGCCCGCATGTTCGAAAAGTAGGTTCAAGCCTTTTACTCGAAAGCCCGTCTCTCAACCCCAAGCCCTTAGACACAGACCTTAATGCTTAGGGTTTCTAGAGTTGAAACATCAAATCCTAAGGCAACCTCCTCAAATGGGTATTTCCCAGAATGATGCACTAAACCCTATAGACCCTAAACCCTGTAAACCCGAGCCCCGTAAACCCTAAACCCTAACTAAGCTCCAAACCAACCATGAAACCCATAAGCCCTAAACCGCATAAACCCTATGAACCCCATGAACCCTATGAACCCTATAAACCCCAGGATCATATATACTCCTCCCATAGTCCCCTTTTCTCCGCTGCACTTTTTTGAGAAACTTCTGAATCCAAACAAACCTAAAGTCTAGACTTTCCATATGCTCCTCAAGTCTTACGGTCTTTTAGGGATTGGGGTGTCGGGAGCCCTAAAACTCAAATCGTAAACCCTAAACCTGAAACCC